AAATTAGCCTGACGCTGTCAAGGACAGGACAGCCAGCGTGTTACTCAGCTCATCCCCATTCATAAAACACCCTGTGTCATGGCGAATTCCACCGGCTCCTCGATCCCTTGTGAGCACCTGGCCCAAACTTTTCCCCAAGATCACAGAACTCCGGGCCTAGGTTCCGATACGAGCTGTGCCATTGGCCAAGGGACTTGGTCGCGTTCCCGAACGCGTCTGCGTTCCTGAACCCACCTGCGGCTCAACTTCCTTATAATGGGGATGAACCACCCGAGCACGGATTCAGCGAGTCCCCGCGAGGCTCAGCTGGGACCGCGCGCTGCGCAGCGCACGTCTGCACCCGCCTAGCGGAGGGCCACCGCCGAGTGACCCTAGGCCTGTCTGAGCCCCAGACCCCCGACTCGCAGCAACCCACGCCCACGCTCTCCCTGAGTGTGCGCGGCCACCGCGAGACCCGCTCCCGCGAGAGAAAGACTGAGGCGCGGACCCAAGACCGGCCCAGGTCACCAGGAGGCCACGTCTTTCCGCCCCGCCATCTCGTCCCGCGTGGGGCCCGGAGGTGTTGGAAGTCTCTGCCGTCTGGGAGGCCAGGCGCGAGGCCTCAGTCTCCCCAGGGCTCCTCACCCGGCGGGCGGCTGCGGGCCCGGCCCCGTTCAGCAGCGGCGTGTCCTCGCCTGCCGGCGCCCCAGGCCGCGCCGTCCTCCGCAGCAGCGGCGCCGCCTCGTCGTCGTCCTGGTCGCGGCTGGACCATGAAACCTTCTTGGAGACGTTGGCCATGGCCCGCCGGTGACCCACGGGCCCGGGGAAGTGCGGCGGCCGGGTGTTTTTTCTCGTGACCCGCGCTGCGGTCACGTGACGCCGGACAGGGGCCGCGGGGGGCCAAGCGCGCGGCAGCGCCTTCTGGGAGTTGTAGTCTCGGCGCCAGAAGTGGTGTCAGAGCAGGACCTGTTTCTGCAGCGTCGGGGGTTAGACAGACTGGCTTGCCTAACCTCCCTTGGTGGGACAGGAGCCCGCTCGAGGGGCTTCAGTTTGTCAACCTAGCCCCAGTCCGTTGGACTCAATCACGACATAGCGAATGAATAGGAAGGGAGGGAGAGGGAAGGCGGGAGAAGAGGGGCGATCTTCTGTGCAACAGATTGCCGCCAACTAATAAATATGCAAGGAAGGATGGAATTAGAAACATCACCATTTTGCACAAACCATAGTAATAACTGATTCAGGCCAGAATGATTGATGCAAGCTTAAGGTTTGTTGGGAAACAATATCTCACAGTATCTTCCTGCAGATTACTTTCAATGAGGAAGGGAAAAAGAAATCTGCTGGAAGAAATCTGGCAGACTCCACCCAAACCAAGGACAAGCTTAGCATCACCCTGATAGGCTGGTATTGTCACAGGCCTCCAGATGTGCCACACTGGGCAGGATATAACATAGCTCCTGTAGCATTCCCGCAGAGAATATTGCCCTGAGTCCCATCACAGGGGAAAAAGAAATCAAATAAACCTGAATGGAGGGAAAAATGGCTAACAATGAGGCAGCTCTATTCTGTAGTGTCAGGGTCATGAAAGACCACAAAAAGGCCAAGGAACTGTCTTTGAAAGGAGATTAAAGAGATGGTGCAACTGACGTCTCCTCTGTGGCTCTGGCATTATTGGGACATTGGCACAGATTGGCTATGCACTGTGCATTAGATAATAGCATTACAGTATTGTTCAATCCTTCAGTGTGATCATTGTCTTGGGGTCATATCAGAAAAGGTCGTTGTTCTCAGGAGACACCCACTGAACTAAGTAGGAGGATGCATTGTGATGTGATGTCTACAACTTAAGCTCAAATGATTCATAATGTAACCATAATCACAACGTAGTTACCCATAAAGAGAGAAAATGTGATAAAATGTTAACATTTGATGAATTTAGGATAAATACTATGATAGGCAATGTATTTGTCTTGCAACATTGTTTCCTTTTTTCGTTTGAAACTTCAAAGTAAAGATTAAAAACGTTCTTTAGATGCTCTGAGGCTGAGAAGATAAGGGAGCCTCTCCCAGTACATAATTCAAAATAACAAAACTAAAATCAAAATTAGAGGAAGTCCAACAGGGCTGTGAATTTCCCCCATGATTGTTGGGCAACACTTTTTAGGAAATACCAAAAACAACACTTTCAGAAAGGGTGTTTTTCTTATTAGTGTAATCTGGTTTTTCTCTTTCTAATGATGCTAATAAGAGTGTGATGACCGCCAGTCTGTGGATGAGGGCATTGGAGGCTGGGAAGGGAGGCTGACTCGCTTAAGGTCCTGAGGAACAACAGGCAGGGTCGGACCTGGTTAGTTTGACTGAATTGAGGGAATGAGTGGGGTTTGTGTGAAGGCACCCAGTGGGCAGGAGAGCTGAGTAGAGCCCTGGGGGAGTGAGAACAGTTCCTGGGATGATGGGAGGCGGGGGGAGCCTAAACTTTTTTCAGGAAAGTGGCCCTTTCAGTGGACAAATGGGCCAGGGTGGGTGTGGTGGGAGAAGGAAGAACCCAGCCTGGGCTCCTTGTTAGAACCTGGCTTGTGCAGCAGGTGGAGGAGGGCTCTAGGTAATTTTGTCCTGCTTATCCAGAAACACAACAGACTCAGGTCAAAGGTGGGATTTGATGGAATTAGAGGTAGACGTGGCTCATGCTTCAAAATGCATGTGGACTTTGTCGCTGACCCCATAGGGATGGTGGGTCTTGTGAGATGCATGTTCAGACTACTCTGCTCTAAAACCTGGATGGGTTTTCCTTGTCCTGCTGGACAGAGCCCAGACTCCTCAGCTGGACAGGCCAGCCCTTGCCAAACTGCCCACCACCTGAGCTCCTGCTACGCTGTCTCACACCCCCACTCCAAGCCCTTGTCCTGGTTGCTCTGCAATCCTGGAGGCCCCCTCCCCACAAAGTATCCCAAATGTGGCAGTCCACAGTGATGAACCCCCTCCACCACCACCACCAAATTCCCGTGGCTTTAGGGTCTTTAAACATGCAGCAAATGGTGCTGTGAACAGTGACACATCCTGTGTCCCCCATGGCATTATAAGCACCCAAAAGCCCAGAAGTGGTGGGAAATAGCGCCCTGTAGGATCTTTTTATGCTGGGGGCCTTGCTTTCCCTAGAGAAATACTAATCGAATTTCCAGTCTTCCCAAAGGAAAGATGTCATCCCTTCTCCCACACCAGCAGACTGGGATGAAGCAAGAGCTCTAGAAAAGGCCAGAGGAGATGGATGTGTCCTGAGATAGTGCAAGAGGAAACAGAAGTCAGTGACCCAGGGAGCCTTCACGTGGCCACCCAGGGGGTTTCCAGTTCTAGAATGCCTCCTCTGACCTTGACTCATGGAAGGCAGTGTTGGGGAGACACTGGGATGAGTCTTTCAGCTAAAGGCCAGGAATTGCTGGGATCACAGACAGCTCTGCAGGGATAGGAATGCTGATAAGAGAACCAAGGGACTAATTTAGGGAGTTGCATTTGGGTCTTCTTGGGGGAATCCCCAATATTATAGGGTTAATTTACATCACACTAAAACTTAAAGTAAA